AAGAGGAAAGGAAGCTTCACTCTGCCCTTAGCTGGCAGGGCGAAGGCTATTGGGTCATCCTAGGAGCCGAAGTGGATTGGGTCATGTCTATCCATTGGGTCAGTCCAGAACAATATTTTTATTCATTTATCTTTTTATATTCTTTTTACTAAAGATTTAATGTTGGTGTTGGTGTTGATGATGATCTTAATTGGTTTCAAATGTGGTTTAAATTATATATGCTTAACGACCGGTGACAAACCACAGAAGATAACTTTTGGACGATCTACAAAATTTTGCATTTTGGTTATTGTTTTTGTTGGTTAATCATTTGTTTTAATTTTAATTTATTGTAAAATTATAAGGTGTACATGTGTCGTTTTGTCTTTGCAAATGGTGTAAACAATGAATTTTTTTGGTACAATATTTGTGTTTGAGAATGAACAAAAGGTATAATGTTTTTGTTTCTGAAATGGTCAATATATGGTTCTGTAAAACATATTCAAACCAAAATATAGAAAAATAAACAAATAACAATGTTTTCTCCTTAGTTGTTATTATACATTGAGGTAATAATGCTTCTCTATTACCTCGGTTTCTCAAATAATCGAGAGGAAATGTGGGACGTATCATTTAGTTCTGAAAATAATAAATATGATTGGTGGGAATCGAACATATGTCAAGAACACTTTATTCATTGGTTATTTAAAATCGAGGGGATAATGTGACAAGTTTTCATTACGCATTTCGTTACCTCGCATGTGTAATCGATATTAAATCTTTTTCGCAATCGAGGTTAAATTTATTTTTTTAGTAGAGAATTTTTTAAAATTAAGAAGAATTCCGATGATAATAATAATAATAATAATAATAATAATAATAATAATAATAATAATAATAATAATAATAATAATAATAATAATAATAATAATAATAATAATAATAATAATAATAATAATAATAATAATAATAATAATAATAATAATAATAATAATAATAATAATAATAATAATAATAATAATAATAATAATAATAATAATAATAATAATAATAATAATAATAATAATAATAATAATAATAATAATAATAATAATAATAATAATAATAATAATAATAATAATAATAATAATAATAATAATAATAATAATAATAATAATAATAATAATAATAATAATAATAATAATAATAATAATAATAATAATAATAATAATAATAATAATAATAATAATAATAATAATAATAATAATAATAATAATAATAATAATAATAATAATAATAATAATAATAATAATAATAATAATAATAATAATAATAATAATAATAATAATAATAATAATAATAATAATAATAATAATAATAATAATAATAATAATAATAATAATAATAATAATAATAATAATAATAATAATAATAATAATAATAATAATAATAATAATAATAATAATAATAATAATAATAATAATAATAATAATAATAATAATAATAATAATAATAATAATAATAATAATAATAATAATAATAATAATAATAATAATAATAATAATAATAATAATAATAATAATAATAATAATAATAATAATAATAATAATAATAATAATAATAATAATAATAATAATAATAATAATAATAATAATAATAATAATAATAATAATAATAATAATAATAATAATAATAATAATAATAATAATAATAATAATAATAATAATAATAATAATAATAATAATAATAATAATAATAATAATAATAATAATAATAATAATAATAATAATAATAATAATAATAATAATAATAATAATAATAATAATAATAATAATAATAATAATAATAATAATAATAATAATAATAATAATAATAATAATAATAATAATAATAATAATAATAATAATAATAATAATAATAATAATAATAATAATAATAATAATAATAATAATAATAATAATAATAATAATAATAATAATAATAATAATAATAATAATAATAATAATAATAATAATAATAATAATAATAATAATAATAATAATAATAATAATAATAATAATAATAATAATAATAATAATAATAATAATAATAATAATAATAATAATAATAATAATAATAATAATAATAATAATAATAATAATAATAATAATAATAATAATAATAATAATAATAATAATAATAATAATAATAATAATAATAATAATAATAATAATAATAATAATAATAATAATAATAATAATAATAATAATAATAATAATAATAATAATAATAATAATAATAATAATAATAATAATAATAATAATAATAATAATAATAATAATAATAATAATAATAATAATAATAATAATAATAATAATAATAATAATAATAATAATAATAATAATAATAATAATAATAATAATAATAATAATAATAATAATAATAATAATAATAATAATAATAATAATAATAATAATAATAATAATAATAATAATAATAATAATAATAATAATAATAATAATAATAATAATAATAATAATAATAATAATAATAATAATAATAATAATAATAATAATAATAATAATAATAATAATAATAATAATAATAATAATAATAATAATAATAATAATAATAATAATAATAATAATAATAATAATAATAATAATAATAATAATAATAATAATAATAATAATAATAATAATAATAATAATAATAATAATAATAATAATAATAATAATAATAATAATAATAATAATAATAATAATAATAATAATAATAATAATAATAATAATAATAAAAGAAACTTCAAAAGCTTTTACCCTTCCATGGTTGTCAAGCCAGCTACACATTTAGACGGGTTTAGAGACCATCAGCTTCCAGTTCTTTAACAATGAAAAAAATAGCTTTGAAGGAACTTCAAGAGCTGTGTTTTGCTAATTTGATTACAGAGATTTTCTTTTGCTACATTGTTTTGATACATTGGTCAATGGAGGTTACGCGAATATACGTGTAAATTAATCATTCCAAAGAATTATTTAATTTCGCCCAATATGTTTTCGCATAGAGTGAAAATGTTTATGTGATTACTATGTTTTTCTCAACTAAATGTAAAAGTATAAAATAATCTTTTTGAGTAAATTAAATTCTCCTCTAGTAGTTGAATCTTGCATTACATTCTCATATCTGTGAGATAAATTTTGCACTTCCTCTCTTAAGATAACCAAATACGCATAACATGTTTATTCATTTAACACAATCAAACTTCTTATGTGCATATCTTTTCTTTTGAATTTAAAGTGCCAAAAGGTTATAATCTAAACTTCATACACATTATAGAATAACCGAACGAATTGTTATATACTTCAAGAACTAAGAAAATATGTTGATGATTGAGAGACCAAGTTGTAAGCTGACTTAGAATGGCCGAAGGTATAGAATAAGACAAATCCATCAAAAATATCACATTTGGTATAGAGAATGTTTCAAAATAGAATAACAAAAAAATTTTAAGTGAAAGGGGAGTGTTAGTTCAGGAGGAGTATAGGTGTGTTGGAGAGTGTGTGATGATGGAGTCAATTTCTCACCTTTTCTTCGAATGCTCTGTTTTTGCGTGTGTTTAGAGTTTCATTTGCAAATAGATCGGAGTACTTACTGTCTTGCATAATGATGAGTGTCTGCATATAGAACAACAATTGGAAAACATGCGAGGCAGAGGAAGATCGATATAAAAGAAACTAGCTGTGAATTTGGGATCGGTAAAATCCTGCGAAATGAGAAAATTCACATTGAAAACGTGGTAGATCAGATAAAATTGACTTCCTGAAAATGACTCAAATTAATATCAAATTTAATAAAGGATGACATTTAATGGTAAATGACCCCTAAAGCATGTCTTGGTATTTATGTTCATAGAAAATCACGTTGCGGTTCTGCATGGGAAATCTCAAACTGATTCGGGCTATTTTTAATTTGTTAGATACTGGTTTTCATTTTGGTTAGAATTTGTTTGTTGTGTGCGCAACGATGACTTTCATGACAGAATTTTACTTGGTTGCGGCAGGATTGCTAATTTTTGTTTGGGTTGATGGTTTTTATATGGGCAGTGGTTGCTTTGCACTTTTGATTTATATTGGAATTATTTATAATCTATTTATAGTACTGCATCTCGTGTACTGTGTTCATTCTTTGGCATATCTTATGCTAGAGTGATATTTTAATAATCAGTTTTTTTCCTTTTTCAAAACTAAAATTATTAATCGAATTAACCACTTTATTCTCAATACCTTATTGTATATTAAATATGAATGAGTATGAATTACAGAAAGAAATTCCTAATGAAACAGAAAGAGTATATGCCTAGCATTCCTCTTATATGAAAACACTTGAGATGTAATTGCAGAGTGCTGAATGTGTCAAGGAAGGTAACAATAATGTATGACTATGAAAAACTTGAATCAGTAGATGCAAGAAATCCATCAATGAATGCAAAAATGTAGATCAACCATCCTCAACATAGAAGAGTACTATAACACTTTCTCTAACACCGCCTCTCTTGATGTGAAATCCATGTGAATCTCACACTCTAGAAATAGGTCTCACATAAAATGATGAGACCTATATATATAAATTTCACCCATTAAAAAGACAATGTGAAAAAATAGTGTTTCTAACACACTGCTATCAACATATTCTCAATCAGAAATTCCCCATAAGAATGATAAGTAAAAGATCGATTCAGTAATATAATTGAGTGTACAATTTCTCAAGATACATACATCAAAGCTTTGTGTACCCCACATAATTCATCAACAACAACAACATCAACAAAAGGAAAGTAAACATAGAGGAAGTATTAAGTATTCCTTTATAGACATTTTCTACTCTTAACATTTGATTTGAAGGCTTGGAGGGGATAGGGCAACAATGAAAAAAAGGGTAATCTAAAACAGATAAAAGGAGCAACCTGAGCCACCAAAAATACAGAATCAAATTCACCCTGATATTTGTGATATGGCAGAGGTCGACAAAAAAGGGGTGGTTGCAAAATTCCATAAACAGAAACTTCAAAGCTCAAACTCTTCATCCCTTAGAGCTATTTCAGCAGCCTCCTCTTCCTCCTCATCAAGAACAAAGTACTCATTTTTCTCCACAGGTCTAAACATGTAGAACATAACAATATAGAAAACAAGACTAGCAGTTTCTTCAGCAGCACTACTCACCCATTGATACTTATAAGCAGCAATAGTTCTCAAAGCAAACACAACTATCCTTGTAAAATACAGATACCCGATAACAACAATATAAAACTGCCTAAAAAGTGTCAACTTAGCAAGATTCCTAGAGGCTTTTCCGTCCGTTTTCGATGTTTCCCTAAGTGATCTTATGGACCAAACAATAGGGAAAATAATAGCACAACAGCAAATAATATCAACAAGCAAAAACACCTGATTCCAAGTAACCCAATCTTTGATAAAAGGACCCGTCTCACCAATCACAACAGACGCCAAATTAGCCAAAACCTGAAGAGGGATCACAATCATCAACACCTTCTTTTCCCTATCCTGCAAAAACGGCTTAAGAAAAGACCAACCGGTACCAATCAAAACGATAACGGTGAACAACACAACAACACGAATGAACTGGAAAATATAGAACAACACATCCCATCCATGAGGTAAACCAGTGACCTTAACATAATGCTTATCCTCTGCAGCACAGATAAGATTCAAAGCTTTCATGAGAAGCAAAACCGCCATTAAGAGATGAATTCTGTGAACGGAATGTTTATTGGTGTAACAAGTGTAAACCCAGAAGACGAAGAAAGTTAGGTATGCGAGAAAGAAGAGGAAGAACAGTGAAGGGAGTTGAGTTTGTCCGGCGGAGAGATAGTCCTTGGAACCGTCGGAATCGAGATTGAAAATCTCGGTGCGGACGACCATGGAAACGGAGGTTTGAGGAGCGCAATTAGCGAAGAAGAGACTGTATTCGTTAGGGGAGGTAACGGGGTAAGAGCGGTTGAAGGAAGCGGATGGAGGAGGTGAAAGGTCACGGAAGGTGAAGAGACGAAAAATGTAGTGAGAATCGAGGACGCAGAAGGAAGGGTTTTGTTGGATCTCGATGAGGACTTGAAGGAGTGTTTCTTCGTTGAGGAGGAAGAATCCGAGACGGGAGGATTCAGGTTGGGAGGCGGAGGAGAGGACGGCGACGGAGACGGAAGAGACGGCGATGTTGACGTGGCCTTTGTGGGTGAAACCGAATTTTTCGAAGAGGATCATGGGGCGAGTGTCGGAGTTGATTGTGAGGGATTTGATTTCGGCGGTGGAGGGGGAGAGAAGGAGGAGGGTGGAGAAGAGGAGGAGGAAGGGAATGTAGGGTTTCAACATTGTTGGAAGAGAATGGTGGTTGAATCGAATCGGTTTCAGAAATGGGAATTTTTGGATGAATGAAGGAAGAAGAAGAAGAGATCTGAACGCGAGTTGTTTTCACCGTAACACACTAGTATCACGACGTGTTAACTAAGCTCGTGGGATTAATTTAATTGTATTTAATTTTACTCGTTAATAAAGATTAATTGTATTTATTTTACTCATTAATAAAGATTAATTGTATTTAATTTTACTCATTAAAAAAGATTAATTGTATTTTTTTTAAAGGCTAAAAATATTATTAAAAGGCTCAAACTAGCATAAAGTATACCAAGAATGAGCCACCCCATAACAAGTATCAATACACCTAAAACATTACAAATCGGCCAAAATACAAAACAAAACCTCTGAGCCATCAACCACAGTCAAAGACAAATTAAAAACACAAGTTAAATCAAATAACAGAATGTACCAAATCACAATAAGAAACAAATGAAGCACTGAACTAAACTCAACAATACAAGAGTTACTGCAGCTGACACACACAATAGAAGTCAAATACACAAACAATGTGCCTCTTACTCCTAAGACTCTAAAAGCCTCGACAGGAATTTGTCGCTACTGCGAAAATCGGCGCCGGCTGAACAGAAGAGTCGCCACCGTGCGTTATTTATCCCAAAGGAGGAAAAGGAAACGCTCGAAGTAAACCTACCGCAAAGACGGGAAAGGAATGGTCATCGCAACCAAATCTTGGATTCGGGAGTCGGTTATGCAAGGGGAAGGTATTAGCACCCCTCACGTCCGTCGTACTCGACGGGATCCACGCTTGTTTTCTGGTACGGATTGTTATTCTATCTACTCTACAGGACTGGGGTTAAAAGAAAATAAAATGACTCGGCAAAGTATCGCACTTTATGCCTACGTATTCCCGTCTGGAACGAGAAATCAGAGTCAACGTAGTTCGCCTAACTACTGGAAAGGAGGGGAAGGTTGCTCGCTAGGATATCGCATCCTTGCCTTCGTACTTTCATACGACATGAAAGATCAGAGCAAACGTAGTTCGGGACACGTACGACACAAGTCCGTCTTGATTGTTTTTATCCTTCTGAAAAAGGTTTTCTCCTGATTATGGGTCCAAGCGGACAAAAATGACGTTTTGATGAGTTCACATTCTTTTACGGAAGAAGTGTCTTTTATTGTGTTTGAAATATTTATTGTGTTTTTCTGTTTGTTTTGAGAAAGAAGAGACAGAACTCCAACCTATGGTTGAAAAAGGAATCAAACTAACCTAATGTTATCATGCATGGGTTAAGACCTAATGTCTATCATGTTCCTCTCTTGCACAGAGAGAAACAGAGATCCTAAGGGATAAACAGAAACAGAAACAATAGCATATATATACAGTAAAGCAGTAAAATGCATGAATGCAGCAGTACAAGCGAGGCAAGGGAGTCCCACTCAACCTCGAACCTAGAAAACAATAGGCAAAAGTGAACAAAATTCACTTTCAACCTAACAGATTAAATGGCAAACAATCCAGTCAGGGAAATTCAAACAATACATCAAAAACTTCTAAACAGCGAAAATAAACAGCAAACAGCAACTCTGCACAGCAAGCTCCATCAACATCTATCTTCAAGTCATCTTCAAACAGCTACAAGCTTCAAGCAAGCATCAACAGTAATCATCTTCAACAGCTTCAAACAGCAGGGCTTCAGACAGCAGCAGTCAAATGCACAGCTTCAACAGCACAATCTTCATCTTCAAGCAAGGTCTCTATCTTCAATCTTTCATGGCTTTTCTTCAAATCAAAATCTCCAGGATGAGGAACAATCAACAGAATGAATTGGGATGTTAAGCAGTTAGTTGACCACCAAAGGTGGCAAACAGACTGTTAACAACATGTAGAATGTTTCTCTCAAGAGTTCTATCTCTTAGATACTGTCACCAAGCCTTCCAAAGGAAGGGGGTGAGTATCCTAGAGAGACTCTGAATCACAGAGAGGGATGGAGGCAAACAAGACCTTCCATGTTTATGAAGCAAGCTTCTACTCTAAGTTCTTCCTAGTTCCTAGTTCCTATAACTCTTCAACAGCTGCGAGCAAGATACACTCTTCATCCACTTTTGAACTGGGTCTTCATTCCTTTTGTCTTCAATGGCTTCATCAACAGAGTCTTCAGCTCAAACCCAAACCCCAAGCAGGCCCAATACCCCACACAATCAAACAAATAACCCTAAAGAGGGCACACCACACAATCAATCAATCACAAGAAATATACTAATAGTAATAATAGAATAGGGGAACTTATAGCATTTTCTAAGGGATCTATCACTTACCCATAATACCCCTATAGTCCCATCTTCTAATTTGTCCTAAAACCCCAAAAAGAAATTTGTTTTGTTACACCTATGTCATATTCACAACCCTAATTGACTATCCTAATAGTTTCTAACTAAACTACCTAAAATAAATCCTAAAAAATAGTATAAATATCAGGGGGGCACCTAATATCCATATCTAGTTATACTAAAAAGAATGGGGTGAAAATCCTAAAGGAAACTCTCAAACTAAATTCAACAAATAGTAACATAAACCAAAAGAATTAAAAAAAGCTATTAAATGTAAAAATATGCAAAAAATATGAAAATGAAGTAAAATGACAATTTTATGTTTTCATATTTTTCTAGACAGAAAATAGAAAATGGGAAAAAAAGTCTCATTAAAAAATATGCATTTTTCAATTTTATATGAATTTTTAAAGTTTAAAGAAATTTGGAAGAAAATTAATAAAAGAAATGATGAGGGGGTATGAATAGAAATAAAGAGCAGTTAGTATCATGATGGGCCCATACTGGGGGTGCTAAGAGCAAGGCGCGCCCCAACCCAGTTTAAATCAGAAAAATCAATAAAAAAACAAAAGAAAATGCCAAAACCGCAGTGTGAATAGCATCAAATCATAGTGTAAAACGGAACTGGGCTTGGACAGGGGGTGGGGAAACCAAATTCGCTAAAGCCCATGACGGTATACTAATCAAAACGCAACGTTTTGCTGCTGCCTCTCCCTCCAATTTCGCGTATGAATCCTGGCCCTCCGATCTGCCTCCAAGTCAAATAGTCTTGCACAGATCCAACGGTTCATGCATTGTCTTCAACCTTAGAACACTTAGGGTTTTAGAACCTCCATGAAACACAACTCCATGCATCAATCTTCCTCACCTTCGTATGACCTCAATACTCCACCAAATTGCATGATCCAAAAACCAAACTTGACTAGAATTTTACGTAGAACACAACCCTACCATTGGATTTCACTAAAACCCCATGAATCTTCCAAACCGAGCGGTATACATCCATGAATCCAAAACTTCATCAGTTTTCAACCATCACAAAACTCAACAATCTTTATATATAATTAATCCTTATGCCATGCTGATTAAAACCAACCAAAATTCGTGCATTATCATCCATTAAATCACTCATTCCAACTCCATCAAGAATTAACCACCATTAATGAAACCTCACTAATTGATCTTAAACTCATCCAAATGAATCACCTAATGGTCTCTAATGGTTTCACAACAAGAACTAACCCTAGCCATGCCTAAATCATAGTGTGGAAGTGATTTTGCTTACCTTGTCTCTTGCAATGGTAGGTGTTGAAAAGCTTCGAATCAAGCCTTGTAGATCTTCAATAATAGTCTCTAGGTGATGAGCAATCCTCTGCTTGCACAAGATTTGCTGGAAATGGCTTGAATCTCAAGATCCAATCCCTTTTGCTCCCTTGCAACTTCACTTGGAACTCCTTCAATTCATCAACAATGGAACCTCAAGCTAGCATGAACATACTCAGGGATGTTTGTGGTGATGATTTGTGCAGAAAAATGGAAGGGTAATGAAGAGAAAAATGAGGTTTCAATACAATTTGCAAAATGGAGAATTTTGGTTCAATCTCTTTTCTCTACCACCATTAACATCAATAATCACCAACCTTTCACCAATGGAGATTGCAATCAATATATAGACTGATTTGGAAAGGTCTAGAACCATCTAGATCAATCTAGTAAGAACTTGAATTTTCCATGCCATGATATTTTGCATTTCCATTCTCACCATATGATATATCATGACAAAAACCCTTGCAACTTGAGTAATTAACTTGGATATCTCCTTACATGAGATTTAGGACAATACACAATGCACATTTCCCTTATTCATTAAGCTTTTCCTTGTTTTGGTTTGGTATGCCATTATGCAATCAAGCAAATTACAAAGCAACTCCAAAATTTAAGCCTCAAATCAAAATTGTGGCTGAACCATTATTCTCAAAATGTCCTTTGGAGTCAAAATGACCTATCATATGGCATGGTTTGGATTTGGAACTTGGATTTTATGATTTTCCATTTCACTTGAATTAACTTATACCTCATTTTTAGGCCATTTTTATCACTTTTTGCTATGAGCCTTTCCAACATCTCATGACCACCCTAATAGCCTTAAAACACCATTCTAAGCAACTTTGATGTTGAAGGTTTTTCCATTTGAAGCTTGGAAGTAGGAGATATGGCCATATGCTTGAAATGACCTATAATTTCCAAATGACCAAAATGCCCTTGGCTTGCCAAGGTCATAAGTAGAGTTCCACAAATCAGATGAAGGCATACTATACCTTTCTAGAAATCTAAGATCATGAGGAACAACTTTCATGTTGGCCAGAAATCCATTTGAAAGCTCCTTGAGGGGTAAAAGTTGCTTGGAAGTCAAGTAACTTTCACAGACAAATTTCAGTGTCCTCAGATGACCTGTAACTTGCAAGAACTATAACTTGAGTTCTATAAATCTCCTTGATGCCTTCCACCACTCAAATTAAAGGTCTTGAGATAATATACAAGTTTCATGTTGGCCAAGGATCCATTTGAGACTTTCATTTTGAATTATCTTGCTTGAAAGCTTGCTTTAAATCAGGGGATTTTACACAGAAACCCTAATTTAGAAACCTCTCTTCTTCTTGATTTATTTT